GGGGTGAACAAAGGCCTCCTGTAGCAAATCGATGCGTTTTTGTTAGAAAAATATCCATATTCAAAACGTAATAATCACTTTAATGTAGCTTGCGCCAGCAGTTGTACATGGAAGCAGCTCCGGGCGGATGACATATGAGGTCAACTTTGCGCATGTGCCAGTGAGTCTCATGAAAACCAACGTTTGTTAACAGGAGCAAAGGAAGCAAAGTTTCCTTACTTTAGCAAAGGAAAACCAGTCTCCTCTTGGCTTATATCGAAATTCTCTGACGTTCTTCTTTACAAATCCTCGTTTTGTACTTCTAATAAGTGACCGTTGTTTTGTTTTGATCTCTCTGCTGCATTTCCACGTTCGTCACTTCTGAGCGGCACATGTGCAAAACTGGCCTCATACAACATCCGCCCGGAACTGCTTCAGTGTATAACAGTGAGCGCAAGCTAGATTAAAGTGATTATTACGTTTTGAATATGGATATTTTTCTTACAAAAACGCATCATTTCGCTACAGGAGGCCTTTGTTCACCCCCTGGAGCCGTGTGAGACACTTTTTTTATGGATGGGCGCTTTTTATTTAGCTTCTTTTGGACTGATGCATGCGACACCCGCTGAGTGGCATTAAACAGCTTGACAGATCAAAGGCAATTTTTAATATAACTCCGACTGGATTCGTCTGAAAGAAGAAAGTCATATACACCTAGGATGACTTGAGGGTGAGTAATTTATGGGCTAATTTACATTTTTGGGTGAACTAACCCTTTAAATTAAATGAGAGCAAACATATTTTTTATATAGCAAAATGCTGCCACCTACTGGTTTCAACAGAAAGTTGTGTTAAATGCAGTGTGTTTTAGTAGCTTGAAACATTGAAACACTGATTTTAATGGCACAGAAATACCAGAAATAAAGAATATATGAGTACACTTTTCATACACTGTTTAAATCAGCAAATATTTTTCAGCTTTGCTAATTTTTATAATTTTTATTTTATTGCTGATTGTGTCTTGTTAATATTGATTTTCAGTATGAGTACTTGGTGGAAGGATGTGGACTGAAATTCAAAACAAGCAAAGAGAGGAAAGATCATCTTATCAGAACACATAGCTATCCAGCAGATTTCAGATTTGACAAAGCAAAAATTAGCGGAAGGTTTGATATTAATACTAATGTAAATTGTGGTCATTTTTGATTTATAGAAATTCTACTTTTTCTTTCATATCTAGTCATTTCAATATTTCAGCTGAACAGCATTATATAATTACATTTTTGGCTATTTGATCACTTAAGATTTTTTTTTTTTACCATCATCTTATGCAAATCAACAGAAAGCAAGAAAAAAAGACCCAAAAGCAGAAGGATGCACATATGGAGGTTTCTGAAACAACAACTATTCAACAAGAAAGTGAGTCGATGGACTTCTCTTTGACCCCAGAGCCAGAGAGCACAAACACTGTAGAAACCGAACCAATGCAGACAGCTAATCTAAAGACACGATATTCATACAAGTGGGTGGATTCATGGTCATGGATTCATATAAATGCTTGATTAAGAGTTTCATTACCCTGTAGACTCAGGGATCAGAACTATGTGTTGATTATTATCTTTCCTCCAGAGTTCCATCATCCATTTGCTTCGGTCAAGGCTCGGTCAGAGGCTTCAGAGGAAGAAGGAAGAAGTAGGCCAAAGTTTTTATCCAGTGCAAACAATTTATCACGTTAGCTTGGTAAAGCATTTTTCTCCAGAGCAGTATTTTTGTAATAAAGTAATAAAACTTGTGAAAGCAATCTTTAAAAAGATGTCTTCTCTCTAAGTATGGGTGAGATTAATAATCTTTGATGTAAAACTTTGCACTTGGTTGTGGCAAGAAGTTTGAAAGTCAAGGAAAAGATATTAAAATATATTCAATATTTAATTCTTTAATTATGTATTACATATTCCAATAAATGTAAGCCTTTCGAGATCTAAAGTCGCTTTCAACTAATGGCACAAACATCTCGCTAGATGTTTCAGACACAAATACATGCGTGTAATGATGGCGTGTGAAACTCGCAAGAACTAATAAAAATCTAAGACGCGTTGCAACTAATGTGTGTCCTTCAGTCGGTTTCACGGAAATTTGGATTTTGTAACAATATAAATACCGTGAAGGTTATCTGAAGGGCTCGTATCTGGAATGTAGGCTACTTCAGAATCCTTTATTTTTATTTTTATTGTTATTGTAATATTTTGTATTTCTTAATAGTTTTTTATTTATAATTACTAGCATCTTCGTGTCTCTTGGAAATTATTGTTGTCCCTTTAGCGCTGAGTATGAGCCTAAATTAAACATTTGTAATATAATCGTCGGTCTCTGAAACAATTTAATATGTGAAACAACAGTTGTTACAAATCTCATAAGCGAGTTGATTTTTTTTGTTTAGGTTCATGTAAGAGATCAAATAGAAAAAAGATCATCTAGAGGATTATTGAATTGAAATGTTGTATTTTTGAACTTATAAATAACGACATTGTTCACATCAGTCTCCGTGAGATTTATTTTTTAATGAAAAGATCATTTTTCTAATTTGTATATACATATAAAATATACAATAATTTACAGAAGATAAATGTAAACAGTGTATAAATACCAGCAATCCAATTTGTAATTTATAAAAAAACAAAAAAAAAAGGGAATGCAAAATCTGTAATATATACGTGTATTTACAATAATACAAATCTAGACATTAATCTTTCAACCTAGCAAACTAGCATATATGTAGTCTACTGAAGGGATTATGGCTAAACAGGCGAAAATTCAATAAACACAGGCCAAAAAGTCCTCTGTAAAAACGTTCGGGAGGAAAAGTTGAGTAAAATGATGGAATAATGGACTATGCTGGTTGTCTCTGCATCTAGTTCCTCTTCAATAAAGACCAACAGAATAACAAACCACGCATTTCAACCTAAAACCGGGTAGCCTGTCAAATAATGGAAGAAAAAAAGACGTAGAGGTAGGCTATAGTGGACCTATTGGCAGTGTATAGCAAATCATAGTTATCTGGGTACAATCTTTGTAATACGCTACAAAATATTTGGTTTGCGTGAAAATACACGTATTCATTTTAAAATGGCTCACACTTACTATCCATTTAGGCCTGAATTTGGCAGCCTATGGCCAAGTATTGGAAAGTAGCAATGTCATGAGACAAGACAGAGTTGAACTGAAATCAGTTTTTTATTTTTACTGTAAGATTCTGCTTACAGTCGCAACGAGCTCTTTAAGTTAGAAACCCCTTAGTATAATTATAAGTTAAATTTCTTGAATTTAAGAGCTTTGTTGGAACTGGCGCAGATGTATCCTACATTTCAGAGCACACTAGGTGTTTTCTCGCGCATCACGCATCATCAGCAAGTGATGCTGATCTAGACACTTGCCAGATTGGCTGTGCCCTCACTATAAATTATCTCTTGGAAATGATTTTCTCTGACACTAAGACAATTAGCCACATAGCGTGTTATCTGTAGGCTACTTATAATATAAAGTCTTCGATATTCAGGCAAGATTCATTGCACTTTTAAAGCCAATTTGGGGACGCTCACTTTAGGAATAAACTGTGTAGATCACAAGAATAATTTCTTTTAAATGGGTGTAGTGTTCTTTAAAGAAAACTTGTTTGCTATCATTTCACTCGTCTTGTGACTGGCAGAAGCGCAGCAGCTGAAGACGGTGACTTGAAGGACGTGCTCACTTGGTTAAGACAAATAATACATTCCGTATGGCCCTCCGAAAAGTCCTGGGACTGGTAACGCAGGTCTAGGAAAGGAACTGGACGGTCCGTAGAGGGGTGGAGATCCAACGTGTGTTCCGAATGGGAACGGAAAGGCGAACGCAGGTAATAATGGCTTGGTTGCAAGTTTCAGTTTCTCAAGTTCGGCCTCTTGTAGTCTTTTTGCCTTCGCTCGTCTGTTTTGAAACCAGATTTTAACTTGAGTCTCAGTGAGGTTGAGTGAATTGGAAAATTCCGCTCTCTCTGCAATAGAAAGATACTGTTTTTGACGAAATTTTCTCTCCAAAGCGAGCAGCTGCGAGGTGGTGAACGGGGTCCGCGGTTTTCGGTTGTTCTTATGCTTTCTGAGGGTACATGGAGGTGGACTTGAGTGCCCTGCGAACAAATAATTAAATTAAACTTTACTATAAAAAGGAATGATGTTACAGTTATATTACATTACATTAATATAATTGTATTACACTGCATTGACAGTTACTTTTTCTGCCGAAGCTACACGTTTATTTTCAGCATCATGAGGAGCATGCATTAGGATATGCGCAATCGCTTACTCTTAACATTTCTACACACAGAAACGGAAATATAGGCTAGCCTGTTTTGAATTCAGATTGATCCACTAAATTGTCTTAACTAAACTGGAATGCGTTTTTTTTTCTTTTGCAACTTCAGACTTTTCTTTGCAGAAGTAGGCTATCCCACTGGCCAATCATTCCACTCTTGGATGACATCAAGCTCTTCCTCTACACATAGGCTAGCCTACATTCTTTTAATTTTTATACAAAAATCTCATTTCAAATCCAAATGAGCTTGATTAAATATAGTCTTTATGGTAATCGATTTCCCTGGTATTTATTAGTGCTTTTTGCTATAGCCTATGTAAAACATGCATGTTTAATGTCATGCGTCATCATGCCACATTATTGACAGGTTTCCCTGCTGAGCCACTCACTTGGCGGAGAAGTGTACGAGGGTGTCTGAAACCAGCCGGACTGTCCCTTGTCATTTAGTTCTTCCATATCTCCTCTCTTGCAGTCGGATAGGTTGGAGACGCTCTCCACTGGGATCTTTCTATCTGTGTAAAGAGCCATGGGCGAGAGCCTCAGCCGCTCATCTCCACCGGATGTCGGAGATATAATACCCGATTCAGATGATGTGTATAAAGTCCGTGTGCTTGTTCTGTCTGATATTAAAGATTCCACACTGAACGGAAGACTCAGCGCCTTGCCTTTACATCCTTTGACAGTCGCTTTGTCGTTGGTTTGAGCCTCCTCTTTGTCCGCACTTTTGCGTTCCTGTAGTTTTCCTTCTTGTGAGAGTGGCCCTTGAAAAGAATTCATCATGGACGATAGAGGGGCCATACAATAAGAATATGTGAGTCGTCCTGAATTTTACTCGTCCACCAGTGCCTTTTCCTTCAGCCGTCGCGCGCTTGCGACGCTTGCCTCACTCTCCAAGCGGAGCGCACTCGCAGCTATAAACTACCAAAAGTTCTTTTTTCCCCCCGCCGCCCTCCAATCGGCTTGACATTTCACCCACATGACTTTCCGCGTGCTCGTCCTGATTGGACAAACCAGTTTCTTTGAGACGTCACAATGATTTTGAAAGAAATGTTGCATGGTTAATCATACTTGTCTTGCCGAGGTGGTTTATTGATTGCTCTGGGGGGCTCCAGTCTTGGAGGCAAGGAGCCATTTGAGAAGTTTTGTTGCAATTAACCAGAGGGGATGTCTGTATAGCGGGCCTCCGTACTCATTAACTCAACTCTTATTGAAAACATACAGCGAAACAAACCACTTCCTTGGCCTCTTCGTCCACGGGAGTTTTCTTTATAAAAATGCTGTATAGTAGAGATAGTGGAAAACGTTTTTATAACGCACGTGGGATAGAATTTTGAGGGGTTTTATTGAATGGATGCCTATACTAAAATTAAGACTAGTGATAGTAGCTTTTTCCGAGATAAAGTGTTTTATTGCATTTTAAGTTGATTTTTAAAATGTAAATTATAAATTGCATAATGTCTGTTTTGCCTCAAAAACAGATCCTTGTGTTCGATGGAAAAAAAAAAACCTCCTCAATTTTTTTCCGTAAAACTGTGACCGGACAAAATGATTGTGTGTCTGAATTGAGGATGATTTTGTCACGCTGCATTACAGCAATTTAAAGCTTGTCTTGGCCCTTTAAGGCTGCAGAAAGCCTCTATTGAGGCGCAACTGGCAACCCCTCACCGTAAGTCAAAGCATTTCATAACGCAGACAAGCCCTGTTTTGGAAGGCGCCAGTCTCGGCAAGATCAAAAAGGAAGCTACCTCAGGGAGAATATGCAACAGTTAACTCCACTTAACCAATTGTCCTCGAAGAGTTTAATGTCAAGGCAATAGCCAGAGGGCAATCAGTTCCCACAGACAGCGCGTACCACTCAGTTAACTGTTGCCTCACTACATGTCTCCTTTGGGAAGCTTTGGACTTGATCATTTTTATTATCGGAGCATGTTTGTTTTGCAGATTTTTGTGAGAATATAAAAGGGGAAATAAGACAGTAGACCATCATACCAATAAAGTTTCTACCCTACTTTTAAAACGGATTTAGGCTTTTGTGCCATCAAAGATAAATTAACTAAAATTAATAAGCATTTTAAGTATAATACGTTTTTGTTTAATATTTAAGCAGTGGTTAAGCACTTAGTTTTAAAATCATACTATACAAATATGTTCAGGTTTTTAAATTTATGACACTGGAATGTTTGGATAGTTTTAATAACTATAGCGACTTCGTTACGGATCACGACATTCGTCAGTTTCAAAACCAAGTAGAATTAAAATATTTAGCTGTGACATAAAAAAAAAAAAAAGGTTAGTAGCCCAAAACAATATTAGAAGCTTGCTATTTTTGTTTGTTGACCTCGACAGATGACCCGCTACATTAGGTCATCTGTTATTAGCTAGATGTGTAAATCCATTTTAGAACCACATGATTCATCGGTCAAAACTGCGGTTTGGCAGTGATTCGGATTCAAACCAGTAATACAGTGTCATGTTTGATATTTTAATTAGACTGGTGCAGTCTATTAAATAGGATTGTTTAGTAATATTTGTTAGACAGT